ACAGAGTAATTACCATAAATGTACACTGATCATGCCCATTTTGCTTCTTTGCCAAACAAAGCTACACAGTAAATTTAATGTAAAACAAAAGTATGGTTTGACAGTTATGGGGTGAACGTCACCAAAATTGTGCAAAAATGAGAATAATTACTGTAAATGTAAACCCATTTAGCATTATGCTAATTTTTGAAAGCAACTTGCTTCTTTGCCAAACAAAGTCAGTCAGCAATTTTACAGTAAAACAAAAATATGATTTGGAAGTTGTGGGATGACGATAACCATTGAAAGCTGAACAAGTGATAAAGGGCCGAGGCATGTAGCACCTATTCACTGGCTTGAAAATTTACTGAGCTTTTCCAATGACATGGTCGAACAATCAGAACCAAAAAAATTCTGTTGCATGATTTTGACTTTTGTTCTAAATGTTTCAGCCCAGAAAAAATAATTTTAGAAAATAATTTTTTGGTCGGATTGATTAGACTGTTCAAACTATTTGAGCAACTACCGTATGTTCACACATATGGTACTTGTACATAAAAATAGCATAGCATCATTCAAATAGAAGAAAATAATTACCTTTTTTAAATGTTGCTGTTTTCTTTTTTACTTCCTTTAGAACTTTCTCGGCTTCAGAACTTATCCAAACTTCACCATTGGTAGTATTTTTAGAATCATTCATTCTAGAAATAAAACCATTGCCTTTTTAAAGTCAAAGCAACAATTAATTTTACAAATTAGAGTTGACATATATTAATTGACAAGTACAATACAAATGCTAAACTTAATACTCTGACTCTGTAAAATGATGTAGACTACAATGCAATATGTTGTTATAACTACATGAATGAGTATGATATGGTCCCTGAGGATTATCTGCCAAGCCAAAAGACAGGTGCATCAAATCTCCATAACTAAGTCAGATATCAAGAAATTTGGTATAATTGACAAAAAAGTTTGATCCACAAAATGTTTGCTTTTAAAATTTTTGTTCATGTGATATGCACCCCTAATTAGGATGTTCCATTGAACAAAGGCATTATTTCACCTTTTTTCTGTCAGTGATAAAATCAGAAGTGAGTCTTTCAAAATTAATTCCAGGCTATAAATTGTAGAACTTATAAGTATGATAAAATTGGTGTTAAATCTGTATTAATTGCTGTTCAGGCAAAGGAGATTAGCCCAAATTCTAAAATGCAATTTCTAAGACCCCATTCCCATAGATTTTAGATCAATTTATCCCTGTTGGGAGTCTCACTAGATTACTGTCAGCTTAGCTGGCTTAAGCATCTGTCCCGCCTACTAAAAGCTGTAAAGGGGTAATTAACTATGGTGCGCGCTTGGCTGACTGCAATTTAGTGTTAGGTCGATCTTAATCTCTGTATCGATCTAAATCTCTGTGAATGCACCCTAACACACAAAAACTGTTGTTAGGTCATCAGCTTGAACTAGCAAAATGTGACAGCATTATCTCATTACATGACAAAGGTTATTTTCTGCATTATCTAAGCAGGTACAGAATTAAATCAGAACATTTTTATCAACCATAATACCCCTCATACTTACATCTTAAATCCCTTCTTTTCAGCAGGTCTGTAGGTATAAACCAAGTCGGTTGTGGCTTTTACAAAATTCTCATTGAATTCTGGGTCTGTTGGTAGTTTGAGTTCCTGCAAAATAGGCTGAAATAGATTATTCTAGGAATTTTCTAACTAAAGTCAACTTAACCCTTTTGAACACAAATTCCAATTGAGAAATTATTATTATTAATTTCTTTCTTTTTCAAACCTGAAAACTTTACTTTAAAATGTCTTTAATCAATTTGGTGCTGTACAATAAAGGCTATACCACCAGTGGATGTTGAAAAAAAAAGACATAATGAATTCTGTATGAATGCACACATGAACTAAAATCCTTAGGTTTCAACATCCATTATGGTATCAGTTAGATATACTTGAAATCAGCAAGGTGCATGTGACATTGCTTCTGAAATAATTTTTCTTCTTCACTATGAAAGATTTTCTATGGAAATTACTCCATGATGATCTTTATGCATACCAACTTAATACTAAGGGATATTGTCATCCTTTACCCAAATTTCATAACAAAAACATTTAAACCAAAATGATGGCACGGGATTGTAGCCTATAAACTCCTTGTCAACTCTTCGTAACAATTTTCGTGATAAAATCTTGTTCACGGATAAAGTTATGCCCCCAAATGGATTGCCATCTCACCTCAAAATAGAAAGGTGTTAAATTGATGATTAAAGCTTTGAGTTGCCTAGTAGGCTTATACATTGCAACAAAAAAAATAAATGCCAGTTATTTTATATTTTCGAGGGTTTTTCCATCATTTTAAATCATCACAAAGATAGATGCATTATTGAATAATTAGATGCAGGAAAAAACTAATTTTGGGTCTGGATGATAATACAGGGTTACAATATCCTTAACAAACTTTTTTGTAGATTGGAAACCAAATAAATAATTAGTATGTAACTAATATACCATAAAATGCCGATGGTTGGCAAGCAGAGGAAAAACATCATCATCCAATTTATTTAATAAAGCCTGATGTGCATATACCACAGGAAAGGCACATGATATAGACTCTTCTTCATCAAAGTATAAATTCTTAGTATCTGGACTAAACCTGAAAGAAATAAAAAATACTATGTGCAATGATAAAATATCACTTATCCCTGTAGTATTGCCTCCATAATAATCCACCCAAACTTGGTTTTTGTTTCGATATGTGGCGACATGCTTCGTTTTTGCATGTTGTCAGTTTGTAGGACAGATTGGTGAAAAGTTGCATTTAAAGAGGCCCTTTATGAACAATGTTGCTTGCTTACTATCACTTCCTATTCAATAACTGACTTTTCCTTTTTTAATTTCAAACACATGGAGATAAACTTCTCAATGATTGTGTTTTTATTACCATAGTTTGTCCATGGTTTCTCTTTTTTATGAAATGCAGCTGTTCTATAAATTGATATTGTACATGTAACTACACCTTTGTCCTAACTCAGTGGTTAGGAAAAGGATGCTTGGACAAAAAACTTCTATTCGACTCGCTTACACCTGGGGTGCAATGCTGCTAACAAGGTGTTAATCTTGCGCGAGGAAACACCATCACTGTGTGTGTCTATATATATATATATATATATATATATATATATATATATATATATATATATATATATATATATATATATATATATATTCTGTGATTGAAAGAAAATATTACATACTTTAAATAAGGTTTGCCGATATTATGAAGTTGTACCTTTGAATCCATTCCTGGTACCGTGGGTCTCTAAAAATCTGCATAGGTGTGAAATGAATTATGAGTTCTGCAGTGTTTTCTGGATTCCCTCCATTCTGATACTGATGAAACTCTTGGTTTTTCAGCAAAGATTCCAAAAATCCTTCTGTTGGACAATCAATTACTAAATTCAAGAAAAAAATACTATTATTGAAAAGGACTTAACACTATGCTATTGTAAGACAATATGAAAGACAATAAAACTTCTAAATATATTAATATATAATTATATGAAATTTATGAATCTCACAAGAATCCATTCTGAAATGAACACACACACACACACACGCAATGATCACTAACTGATCAAGAATATGGCACATATGATTAAAGTGGTGTTGTGCCATCCATGATCGGTGGTAAATATGTCTTTTTACCATTCACTTCTCACCATGGCTTGAAGTGTTGTAAATTTAATAATAATAATACTAATAATTATATAATTAAGAGAAAGAAAAACAATTGTTTTTACCTATAATTGGTCTCCATATGACAGCTTTTTTGAGAATATCATCAGGGCATATCTGAAATACATTAAAAGATACTGGCTGATACCCATCACATCATTCCATAACAAGAGGATCAGAGAGGCGATACCGCCTCCGGAAATTGTACCACCAGCTGGAGTAAGCGCATTCGTATGGAACCCACCCCTCCAAAAAGGGACACCATCACCAGTCTTGTGCTTGACAAGCTCTAAAAAATGCAATCAACAAGAGTTCTCAAAATATGCAAAAAAATATAACTGAAAATGGTACAATCAAGCAGATTTTCAAATTGTCTTGCATTTTCCTACCAATGATCACTCCTGTGATTCTCTAGACAAAAGGCCTATTGGTTTTCTTTGAAATGTGTTGTCAGTGGTGCATATATGCTGACAAAAGAGAAAACCTAAGGGCAACAACGGGCACATCTCTGCTAGTTTTGAAGATATGAGAGGCAAGAAAATATGCAAAGCTCAGTTCATGGTGAAAAGTAGGTCAAAGGTCAATTTCAATATCATAGTATATGAATTTCTATTCAAGTTCAATAGTAACCATGGGCATTTCTTTGGCAATTTTGCAGATTTAAAGGCCAGAAAAGATGCAAAAAGCACTTCATCATAAAAAGTAGGTCAAAAGTCAATTTCAAGGTCACAGATTGCCAGTGTATTACTTCCTATTCAAGTTCAATAGTAACTATGGACCTATCTCTGCCAGTTTTGGAGATAAAAGGGAACGAAAATTTGCAAAGTTCAGTTCATGATAAAAAGTAGGTCAACAGTCAATTTTAAGGTCACAGTAAATTGCCAGTATATGACTTCCTACTCTAGTTCAATAGTAACTATGGACCTATCTCTGCCAGTTTTGGAGATAAAAGGGAACGAAAATTTGCAAAGTTCAGTTCATGGTGAAAAGTAGGTCAAAGGTCAATTTTAAGGTCACACCTAGATTACCAGTATATGACTTCTTATTCAAGTTCAATAGTAACTATGGACCTATCTCTGCCAGTTTTAGAGATAAAAGGGAACGAAAATTTGCAAAGTTCAGTTCATGGTGAAAAGTAGGTCAAAGGTCAATTTCAATATCATAGTATATAAATTTCTATTCAAGTTCAATAGTAATGCACCTATTGACCCCAAATTCAAGGAGATGAAAGATGACCCTAAGGGTAACACTTTCCAATAATATTATTGGTTAGGTCTGTGTAGTTTCTGAAAATCAGCGCAAGTAATTTTTCGTTTTTTTGAAAATTTTGGCCCGTCTGACCTTGAAATAAAGGTCAAAGGTCAAATCCAAAAGCATATTTGAAATCTCCACATATGACTTTTGGTCAGCCGTGTGTAGAAATTTTTCCCATAATTCCTTCCGTATGGTGGATAATTAGCATTTAATTTTGCCATTTTTGGACAAGGGTGCATTACAAAGAGCACCACACCTAGACCCCAGCACTGATGAAGCCCAAATTTTACGTGGAACGAGTTGAGATTACAGGTGACCTAAATCCAAGAGATGGGTACAGAGGCCCTTGTAGTCTAGGAGGAGAAGCGGTAACGGTGACATGGCGGCGGAGCCGGCGGAACATACGGGTCGGGGCTAAAACCATGTGTACCGCCAGCGCCTACGCTGGTGGTACAATAAGATATTAGGATTAAAAGAATCTCTTTATATACTATATTCTGTGTGAAAGTCCAATTTCCACACTTATATTAATGTAAGAAGAAAAACAAGGCAGCAAAGCTGTCAAATGTACAAACAAAAGGCGAAATGTACAAAAAAAGGATACTGTCAATTGTTATGCAATAATACATTATGCTTAACTGCAAAGTCAACATCAAATTTTAATTATGCACAACAGATAATACTGATGAAATTAAAAGCATAAGGCTTCAGGCCCATGAGAGTTCAAAGTCACACATGCAAAAAAAAAAAAAAATGCATCAAACTAGAGGTCTCTAGAACCTATGGTTCCGTAATCAGAGAGAGTTTTCAATTTCGGCATCTAATGGCTGCTTCTCTTGTGAAAAAGCACTGACCGACCCCAAACTCACGAAAATGAAAGGAGTCCCTAATTGTAACCCCTTACTATAATATGAGAGCTTAGGATTGTGTAGTTTCTGAAAATTGGCACAAACAAACATGTTTTTGCAGAAAATTCCCATTGATAAAAAATTTTGGCCTGTTTGACCTTGAAATAAAGGTTAAAGGTCAAATCCCATAATTCCCTCAGTTTGGGAGATCATTAGCCTTCAATTTTCAAAAATTTTAACAAGGGTGTGTTTCAATGAGTGAGACGAATGCACCGACTGAGACAAAAAAAAAAAAAAAAAAAAAAAAAAAACAAGTTGGGATTCAAGTTGGGATTATATGTGACCTAAATCCAAGAGACGGGTACACAGATCTGTGCTGTCTAGGAGGCCAATAAGTAATGGTGATTTGTATCTGGTGTCAGAACGCGCAGCCCCCGGAGCCGTAAGCGACTAAAATTATGGGTACTGCCAGCATTAGCTGGTGGTACTAACTATAGGATCATAGGACAGATACTGCCACCAAGTATTTTGTATCACCAGCAGGGTCAAGTGCATTAAAGTTCAATGGTAACTGTGGGTACACTTCTACTAGATAAGAATATGAAGAGCTAGAAGATTTGAAAGTGCATTTCATGGCAGAAAGTAAGCCAAATATCAAATTGAAGGTCATGCTTGGATAACCAATATATGATTTTCTACTCAAGTTCAATAGTAATTATGGGTGCATCTCTGTTAATATTGGAGATGTAGGGGCTAAAAAATCTGCTTAGTTCATTTCATGGTGAAAAGTAAGTCAAAGTTCAGATCCAAGGCCACATTAAGTTAAAAGTATTGAAGTTAAAGGCTTTTTGTCAATTAAGCAATATTATACAATGCTTAACAGCATCATCACCACCAAATTTTAAATACCTAAGGTTAGAAGGACATTCAGAATAAGTACCTACTAAAGGACGTCTAGCAAAATATTCATGTGTAAGCACGTCTGACAATTTTGAAGTAAAGGCCTTAAAACGTGTGAAATGACGACCAGTTCGCACATCTACCATGGTGTGGAACCTCTCAAATTTTTATCATACCTCTTATCTCCTCAACTTGCATACTCCTGCAAAGCCAACCAGTTTTCCCGTGGACAGAGCCATGATTAAGGTAATATCCATCTCGTGTCCAGTTAGGTCACTTTTAAATTACACTGATTATACAGGTAAAATGGATACTCAGAAAATATATCTAGCAAAGGGATTGAGGCCCATGTGGTTTTCAACCTTTAGTTGAACTAAGTCCTGTGACTCATTTTCTGTAAGTTTCCACTTATCTTGTAATCTCTGAAAGCGCACTGTGACACCAATGCTGCCAATGACGATGACGGCTAAATCAGATATGGGTGATGTCTGTATCATGTATATTAAAATTTACAACAGGAAAATATTGCACAAAAAAAGTAAAAAAAAAAAAAAAAAAAACAATAATGACTGCCACAGTTTTTAAACTTACCACTCTGCCATCTTCCAGAGTTACTGTTTCACCCTGGCATAATGTCCTTAATACAGCGCTAGATGTCCTATACAAAAAGAACATTTCATGAAAACATAGTGCTATTGCAAGTATCAAAATACATCAGATCATAAATTCAAAAGATTATTTTAAACTAGAGGATCAGAGAGGCGATACGGCCTCCAGATACCACCAGCTGTAGTAAGCGCATTCAAATGGAAAACAAAAAAAGGGACACCACCACCAGTCTTATGCTTGATAAGCTATATAAAACTAGAGGATCAGAGAGGCGATACCGCCTCCAGATATTGTACCACCAGCTGGAGTAAGCACATTTGTATGGACCCCCCCCCAAAAAAAATAAAGGACATCACCACCAGTCTTATGCTTGACAAGCTCCATAAAATGCAATAAACAAGAGTTCTCAAAATATGCAAAAAAAATAAATAAATAAATAAATAAAAAAAATGTTAAAATGGTCCAATCAAGCAGATGTTCAAATTGACTTGTATTTTCCTAACATTGATCACTCCTGTTATTTTCTAGACAATAGGCCTATTGGTTTTCCTTGAAATGAGTTATCAGTGTTGCATATATGCTGACAAAAGAGAAAACCTAGGGACAACACTGATCAGATCTCTGCTAGTTTTGAAGATATGAGGGGCAAAAAGTAGGTCAAAGGTCAATTTCAAGGTCACAGTATATGACTTCCTATACAAGTTCAACAGTAACTAAGGGCGTTCCTTTGCCAATTTTGGAGATATGAAAGTGCAGTTCATCATAAAGAGTAAGTCAAAGGTCAATTTCAAGGTCATAGTAAGTTTACCAGTATGTGACTTCCTATGCAAGTTCAATAGTAACTTTGCCATTTTTCAAGATATAAGGGACAAAAAATTTGCAAAGTTCCGTTCATGGTGAAAAGTAGGTCAAAGGTCAATTTCAAGGTCACAATGAGATTGCCAGTATATGACTTCCTATTCATTTTCAATAGTAACTATGGGCTTATCTCTGCCAGTTTTGGAGATATAAAGATCAGAAAACTTGCAAAGTGCAGTTCATCATGAAAAGTAGGTCAAAGGTCAATTTCAAGGTCATAGTAAGATTGCCAGTATGTGACTTTCTATTCAAGGTCAATAGCAACTTTGCCAGTTTTCAAGATATAAGGGACAGAAAATTTGCAAAGTTCAGTTCATGGGGAAAGGTAGGTCAAAGGTCAATTTCAAGGTCACAATGAGATTGCCAGAATATGACTTCCTATTCAAGTTCAACAGTAACTATGGGCTTATCTCTGCCAGTTTTGGAGATATAAAGATCAGAAAACTTGCAAAGTGCAGTTCATCATGAAAAGTAGGTCAAAGGTCAATTTCAAGGTCACAGTTAGATTACCAGTATATGACTTCCTATTTAAGTTCAATAGTACATATGGAGTACTATTTGGAGTATTTTGGAGTATTTCACATTTTATTTTCACCACTGAATATCAGATGTTGAACTTTTTGATATAGTGCAATGCCTAAGCCATATTGAAAACAAAAAAAAACGGATACCACCTTCAGTGTTGCACTTGACAAGCTCTACAAAATGCAAAAAACAAGAGGTCTCTAGCATTAACAGATCCAGAATTAGAGAGAGTTTTCAGTATCAGCATCTAATGGCTGCTACTCCCGTGAAAATGCACCAATTGACCCCAAACTCACAAAGATGAAAGATGACCCTAAAGGTAACACCTGTCCATAATATTATAGATTAGATCTGCACAGTTTGAAAAAAAGCAGAAATAAATTTTTTTTGCAAAAATTTCCCAATTTATAGAAAAGTTTGGCCCATTTGACCTTGAAATAAAGTTCAAAGGTCAAATCCAAGGGCGTGTTTGAAAGCTCCACAAATGATTTTCGGTCAGTCATCAATAGAAAATTTTCCCATAATTCCTTCGGTTTGGGAGATATTTAGCTTTGAATATCCAAAATTTTTGACAAGGGTGCATTTCAACAAGCGTCAGGCCAATGCACCGACAGAGACAAAAAAACCAGGGGGTTCAAGTTGAGGTTATATGTGACCTAAATCCAAGAGATGGGGACACAGGTCCTTGCGGTCTAGGAGGAGAAGCGGTAACCGTGACTTGTTTCCGGCGCCTTACTGCGGAGCCGCAGGAGCCGGCGGAGCTATATGAAACGGGTCGGGACTAAAACCATGAGTACCCCCCAGCATACACACTGGTGGTACTAATAAAATATACAAGAGTTCTCAAAATATGCAAAAAAAAAATACAAAAAACGTAATGGTAAAAATGGTCCGATCATGCGGATTTTCTAATTGACCTGATTCCTGTAATTTTCTGGACATCAGGCCTATTTGTTTTCCTTGAAATGTGTAATCCAAGGGCATATTTGGAATCAACAAATACGAGTTTCAGTCAGACTTCTATAGTAAGTTTTCACATAATTCCCTTAGTTTGGGAGATATTTAGCATTGAATTTCCAAAAATTTTGACAAAGGTGCATTTCAAGGAGCATCATGCCTAGGCCAAGGTACCTACTGAGACAAAAAAAAAAAACAGGGGGTTCAAGTTGAGATTATATGTGACCCTAATCCAAGAGATGGGGACAAAGGTCCTTGCAGTAACGGTGACTTGGTCAAAGGTCAATTTCAAGGTCACAGTTATATTGCCAGTATGTGACATCCTATTTAAGTTCAATTATTATGGTAACTATGAGCGTATCTCTGCTTATTATGGAGTATTCAACATTGTATTTTCACCAGTGAATACTATGACCAGAGTTGGAAATAACTGCCCGTCCCAACGTCCTTGTCGGTCTAATTTCATGAAGGACGGGTAAAAATAATTTGGAGACCGTCCTGTGGTCGGGCCGCACTTTGAAGTCGTCAATAGATCTGAGCGTGAAACACCGCATCTTTCTTGATTTTGATTTTCACTATACATAAGTGCTTTCAATATAAATCACATGATCATTCCAAATATATGGGAAAATAGGTCAGAGATACGTCATTACATCACCTCCGACTTTTACAGCGGGAAATTTCACGTGAACATTCCAAATATGGGAAAATAGGTCAGTTATACGTCATTAAATGACTACTTCCGACTTTTGTCGTAAGATAAGAGTTTATTTAGCCAATTATAAAAATCGGAAATCATTTTCCATTGGAGCAATATACAGAGTAAAATAATAAAATAATACAATAAATAAATAAATTAAGAATTTAGCTTTGAGATCAAATTAAAATGCGTCACTGCACTTGGATAAAAGCTGTTTAAGAAGCGTTTACTGCCTTTAAAAGTTAAAAGTCTACTGTTGCTTGGTAAAAAAGTAAAAAGAGAGGATGCAGGATGGAAAGCGTCTTTCATGGTGTTGACAATTCTTTTCTCCATCCTGTCCTTAAAAATATCATCCAGCTTGGGGAGATCTTGCCCGATAATCCGTCTTGCAGTTTTTACAACGTTTGCTAATTTCTTCCTTTCCTCCCCAGCTGTTCCGCTATACCATATTATAATTCCGTACGCTAGAATGCTTTCAATTACACACCTATAAAAATTGACTAATCTTCGTGGGAAGATTCGCTGCAATAAGCCAATCAAATGCAAGGTAACATCGGTAATATGATAAAGAAGACAATGTGGCTAGCTAATGTGGTGTACATTTTAACTTCTACGTCTTTAGAAACACCCACATGCTACGAAAATTTCTTGGCCTTCCTGAAAAAAATCATGAAAAGCGACCAGCGACGGAGGTTCGTAAAGACTATGACCAGAACAAAAGGCAACGGACAATAGTTCCAAATTGGAGGGCAGAGTTCAAGTGGTTGATATGTGACGAGAACCGACAAATTTTATATTGCAACACGTGTCGTTCCGTTTACGGCCCGCTTTCTTCAAAATCGAACATTCCGGGGAAATTTAACAGATACAAAAATGGACCCTTTGTTAATGGATGCAAAAATTTAAGGCATGATGCCTTAAATTTTAAAAATTCACGAACAATCCGAAGGACACAGATTCGCCGAATCGTTTATTACCAAAAAAGCTGGAGAGTCAACGGCTGAAAAAACCCTCCTAAGCCTGAACAGAGCAGTGGTGGACAAACTAGACAAACTTTTTAGATCAGCACACGCCATTGCAAAAAAATCAAGACCAATAAGCGATTTTGTCTGGCAATGTCAATTAGACATGAAAAAAGGACTGGATTTGGGGAACACATATCTCAACAACAAAAGTTGCAAAGAATTTATGGTCGCTATTGCGGAAGTGGAGCGGCGCAAATTGAAGAAAAATTGGAAGAAGCCAAATTTGTTACCGTCATGTCAGATGGTTCCACTGACATCTCTGTCATAGAGAATGAGATTGTTTACGTGCACTTTACAATTAAAGGCATCACTTACTGCTATTTTCTTGGACTAGTGGAGTGCGAGAGTGCCAATGCAATTGGTATTTATAACGCAATTTTGAATGCTTTGAAGTTCAGTCGTGTGGATGTTTTAGAAAGGATTGTGGCCTTTGCTGGAGATGGAGCAGCAGTAAATACAGGACACTTAAACGGTGTCATTTCACATTTTCGAAGAAATGTGAATGAATCAACAGTGATGGTGCAGTGCTTTTCTCATAGGGTGGAATTGGGATATAAAGCGGCTCTCAAGGTAAGAATATCCGTACTCAAGTATTATCATACAAGAATATTACATGTCAATACTTTTGTGCAACAAATAGTAGATCTAAGTTGGTTATTCCATCCTGTTCATTATCAGGCAATTGAAACAAAGCAAAATTGGACAGAAATTAGATATATCAATTTTGTCACATGAAACTACCAGTTCCATAATACCAGTACAGTTTATTTACTGATTATTCTTTACTTTAGTTTTGCTTTGGTGTAAGTGATTTTTTGTTGTTGTTTTTCAGGTAGCCCCAATGTTCACCAAAGTAAATGATCTATTAGATGGTTTGTTTAAATTTTACCACAAAAGTGCTCTTCAAAGGAAACAATTGAAGAGCAATTTTGTAGACTTGCAGATCTCTCAAGCTCTCCCAACAAGGGTGGGCGGTACACGCTG